GGGACTAGAAAGTCTCGTCAGGCAATAAAGCTAAAGTTGTTAAAAAAGAAATTTTGGAAAAATTGGAAATGTTTTTATTGTGGTTTACAAGATTTATATATTGATTTGAATATTATAGGAAGAAAATTCAATAGCTTTAAAACAAGATAATATAAGTTATTGATAGTTTACGTAATAAAACTATATTAAAAATTGTTTCATTAACACTGGCAAAACATCAAAATCTATCATGAAAGAGCACAAAAAATTGAATATTTATTATTATATAATATTTATATAATAATAAATCATAACTTGTATAATTTATTGTAATATATTTAAGTTATATATATATAGTCTACATATATAACTTGTAATCTGATAATATAAAATCTATAATAAAGATATGAATGAATTTTAATAAAAAAGTAAAATATAAAACAAAAAGTAATTAACACAAATTTTCATTTTGGTATAATTCCAAAAAATAGAATTAATGCGTTTTCTCAGTCTAAATACACGAAAACAGCTTTCACAAAGTTTACATATTGATATTTTTAGGCCTAAATAGTAGCTTTTATAACAATCATTTACCAGATAATAGCATACAAATGAAATAATTTTTCTCTTAAATCTTGAATTAACTTACATATTAAAAGAAGTCAATATCGAAAGATTGGAAAGAAAGAAATTATCTTATTTATATAATGGACATTCAATTTCGGTACATAATTTGAAGTACAGTTGACCCCCCTATAATTACGGTCCCTATAATTACGATTCCTATAAAACTACAAAAAAATATACGTATTTTGGAAATGTTGAGTCGGATTAGTGTAGAATCGATTAATTTTATGGAAGAAAACCTTTCAAACAGCCGTAGTCCGTAAACTTGACACGTGTCGGGCTGTGAATGGAACGACTTGTAAGAAATCGGATTCCTAATAAATTGGAACGTATCTATATCTTATAGGGGGATCGACTTGTACTAAAGTTATAGTTTTGTAATGCAACTTAAAATGAAAAAGGTAGAATATAAAAGATCGAAGAAATACGCAAAACTGAAAAATGAGGTACAAAATCTCTTATGATTTTGTATACTGTTTTGAATCCACCAACCCGCCAATACAAATTAATAAGATTCATGTCATCCTTCACATGAGATTAAATCGGGATGAAGTTATAACGGAAGATAAGCTACGTGACCAATCGGTGGCTTTATATATTTCTTTTGAATTAATTTTTGAAGGATTTGAAATTTAAGAGAATTATATGATTAAATTAAATTTGTAAAAAGCTTTTGTAGATGTTAATAAAATTAACTTTTAATGGAAATCTATCAAATTCTAATTTATTGAATATTCGCAAAACTACGAACAGAATTATCCAATTTAAAGAGCATTTTTAAAATTTCAATTTGAACCTTCTTCACTTTTAAAATACTTTGAATAAATATTATAGATAATTTTTTCAATTTAATATTGAAGAAATTTATAAAATATTTTTGTAAAACTAAAAAATTAGAAATAATACGTGAAGTAAATTTAATCTTTTATTCATATAGGGTGATCCAAAAGATTGTTTAGTATCTAATAATTTATAAATAAATGCAAATGTGAAAATTCATATATATTTGTATAAACAAATTCAATAATAATATCTCTAGCTCTAGTTATAGATTTAATGTATCGAAATTAAATTATTTTACTCTAATTACCAATAATTAAAATTAAAATTATAGAACGAAATTATTTATTTTAAAAACTTCTGAGAAGTGACCTAGTACTATTAAGTGTGATGCCTACGCTGCTGATGTATATAGAACATTGTTTCCAATAATACATTACATTTCTTATCATTGTCTAACGTTACACAGTTATTTGTCTCAATTTCAAAAATTACTTATGTTAAATTTATAAGTAAAAATTTAAACTTATTATTTATAATAAATTACTTATTTTATTAAATTAACACTAGCAATACTTTTCCTCTTCACTTAAATAAACTAATCTTAAGGCAATTTTAACTTTATTTTTTCAGTTAGATAAATATCGGTATTGTTATTGTATTGAGATAAAAAATAAAAGATTAATTAGAGGAATGTAATATCTACAGTCGTTTAGTAACTTGAAAAGAATATATATATAAATATATGTTTATACAGAGAAAGATTTATCAAAATAAAAACTACTGGCAAAACTGTTTCCTATACTATGCAATCAAGCATTCACTATTATTGACTTATTTAATAATGTTTTGTTGTTACCTTATTTTTTTAATAAAAAATAAAAATTTATTTAAGTAAATAAAGTTGTTTTAAATAGCATACACTTCGTTAATTAGAAATGATAAATGAATAATTCCTAATCTTCTTACCTTCTTATGTAAACTCCTCTTAAGATAAGTTAGTTTGTCTCTAATGTTGAGGCTTTATATTATAATGAATAGGCGACAGGAATAAAATAAATCCAAATAAACTTTGAAATTTAATTATTAAGAGATCTTTACTTTGAATTATACATATTTATGTAAGAATCCTTTTCACTAATTAGTGAAGAAGAATTTGTATCATTAATAGAATAGAATAGAATATTAGTCTTTATAACGTATCTGTCAACTTTGCAGATGTTAAAAAATGAAAAGTATTAAGAAATACTACTAATGTAAAATCATCTGTAATAATTTCATCTATAAGCATTTATATAAGTAATTCTTAGGACCAGTGATTTTGACAATCTCTTTTGAAATTATCACTGCGATCAGATCGAAAAATAATTACACGAGAACATAAAAGAGAATTATAGTTAATTATTTTATTATCAAACATTTTAATAAAAACAATAATTTAAAAGGGTAATATTTAGTAATAATGAGAAAATATAACTAATTTCTTCATTTCTCTTTATGCAAAGATGGCTGAAAATACAAATTCGTGGTATGAAATGGGCAACATCCTACACAGGAACACGATTGATTTATTTAGTAAGAGATGAACAAATCTATTTAGAGCTCTCTTCTAACCCCAAACTGCAAAATAATTCGATACAAAGTCTTTGTGTCATTGGTATAGGTTAGTTAGATTTCTGGTAAAGCAGTCACCTATCGATTGTGAAGTATAAGTTTAAATCCTATTAAGACATTTGGATCTTTCTTTCTCATTCATCATCGTGCTGATCGATGGTGATGCGGATCAGACTTTTCCAGGAAGGATTTGAACTTTATCATTGCCCCGATAAGGACGCCATAAAATGTTATACACTCTAGATAAGTGTTTTTCAAATAATAGCGGCACCCCAATCCCACTGCTCTAGATCATGGTGAAGAAAATGTCAATTTAATTCAACTTCAGATGAAATAAATAGGCCTCTAGTAAATTAATATTTTAATTAATGTACATGGTATCCACAGAGTGTCCAGACTACTTTAATTTTTTTTTAATACTAATGAAAAGCCAATTCTATGAAGTTTGATATTTATACTGTATATTGTAAACCAAAAGTTTTAATATATTTTTATGTTTCAGATATATAAGTGATATTATTAGTGCTAAATGTTGACAATGACTGCTATTCGAAAAAGACACAACGTGTGGCTTGGTTCGTTAAGCACGTGAAGAAAATTCGAAAAACTTCACATGATTGACATTTTGAGAATTTCTTTTTATAATTGTCTAAATATCAGTGGCGTGCCGTCATTGGAAGAGGTGGATGCGCCGGATTCTAAAAAATAAATACATANAATGAGACGTAATTTTTTCGAATATAAAGTATTAATAATTGTTCTTTGAAATTATGTAAAATAAAAAAATCTTTAATACTCTTTTCCTTTGAAAATGAAACCTAATTTCTTAACTTAAACTGTTTCTTGAAGTTATTTAAATAATATAAGCACATTGCACCAACTTTCTTTCCATAAATTTATTACTTTTTAATCTGTCATATACAATTTTAATTATTTCAAATCATTAAATCATATTGTACTCATCGTGTACAGTACATAGATATAATTCTACTTAAATATATGATTATTACAACATGATTTATACTTCCATATGATTGTTTTAGCACAAAATTAGATACACTCAGCTATGAAAAGTAATAATTTTGAAACGTAAACGTAACACAAAGCGTAATTTTACAAACTATAATATAAAAAACTTAAATATAATCGAGCACATCGTTGTATATGCCAGTAATCTACGTGAAAATTGTTCTTAATCTGTGGTTCTTACTATTCTGGCTGTTAAATGTAAAAGACGGAAAGTATGGCAATCTGTCAAAAAATGGCCCTCCAAGATTTTTATAGTTTTGGACTTAGGACACTTTGAAACGCCGAGAAATGCCAAAAAACGGAATTTTTTTCTATATGTATGAATGTTAGTGTGAGAGGCACGATTTTGTTTACCTTATTTGAAGCTTAATAACTGCTGTGATTTTTATCGAAATTTCCTGAAATTTTGCATGGAGGTTTCTGTATTAGGGAGATTGATGCTATTAAATTTTGGTGATTAAAAGTCGAGGAGATGGGGTGATAAAGGGGATCGTGTGTATCTCCAATAGGATCTGATTTAATGACGATTTTACTTGTTATTAGCATTTACAATTTTATATAAAACCCATTCGTACCCTCAAAATTAAGCTTCTTGCCATTTTATAAAAGTTAAAAATATAAAAAGTTTTTAAATAAAATATCATAACAGATGGCGCCACTAAATGTTGCCGGAAAAGTTAAACAACTAGTTGCTGGATTTTTTTTCACTAATTCTTTAAATTTTTTTCTTTTTCAAAATTTTGTACTCAAGACATAATGTATTACAATATTAATTTGTTTTCGATTTAATTTGAATAAATTTTAATATATTACACTAAAATAAAAATTAAAATATTTATTTAACTTTGTATTAATTATACGGTGGGTGATCGGTTAACGAACAGATCGGATAACGAACAAATCGGATAACGAACACTTTCGCGAAAGAAAAAGCAGTTTTTATTCTTTTGTTCTATAATTCGATAAGCAAAATGGCTATTCCTTTACCCGAAATTTTTCTAAATTCAGACTTGGATCGACTTTTCAGTAACAAGCGTGTAATCTTGTTAGGCGATTCTAACGTAAGAGCAATTTACAAAGATCTAGTAGCTCTGTCTCAAGATAATTTATTCAGTACCGAATCAGGATTGAAAGCGAAAATGGAAGATTCTTTTATGGGCGATAAATTAATCTATTGCGATAAATTAACGATTGAAAGGATTTATAAAGAAGAAAGGTTATATCAGTTTAAAGATTATGAGATAAGATTCTTTTTTATAACAAGAGTTTATGACGATTATATGGAAAATATTCTAAAAATCTTACAACGAAATACAGTAGATATAGTGCTTATTAATTCCTGTTTATGGGACATTACACGATGGGGCCCGAAAGGAGTAGAAAATTACAAGATAAATCTGCAAATTATAGCCAGGAAATTTCGTGAAATTCTTCCAGAAGATTGCTTAGTTATCTGGTTAACCACATTACCGATATCGCAAGATGTGAAAGGAGGATTTCTGGTGCCAGAGTTGGAATTCCTGAAGTTTTCACTTAGATTTCATGTAATGGAAGCCAACATATACGCTCGAAAGGTATTCAACAAGTATGGTTTGGACATATTAGATCTTCATTATCGTTTACAAATGCATATACATCAGAGGAAAAAGGACGGAATTCATTGGGAAGCTAAAGCAGTTAGACACATGACCAATTCTATTCTAACGCACATTTCTTTAGCTTGGAATGTAAAGTTGCCTTCTATATTTAACAAGCACATGAACGTAAAAGATGAAAGGAACTTAGAAGAAAAGGATAATAAGAAAAACACTATAGAATATAATATAATAAGTAAGGTGAGTATCGATTAAAAATGGTTCAATGATTTTTTGTGCATTTTACGTTAATAACATGTTTATACAAGATTACATGTATTATTTCAGTACAAAATTGACAGAAGAAAGATTCCTGATAACAATTAACATGGAATTTTGATTAAGAATTTTTCATATTTGACTTGAAGTATCATTACAATATTTAACGTAAACTGTCTAACAATTTGTTAACGTCTTCATATTGAAAGTTTGTTTAATCAATGTTTCATTATTGTCAGAATTGTATTTCAATGTGATTTATGTAAAATTCATTACAAATCAATACTAAATTTTAACATTGTTGTTTTTTTTCAATCAAGGAAAGAATTTGAGTTGCCACTTTTAACTTTCATAGATAAATACTTTCAAGATTTCTCCATTATTAAATTTTGTTTTATTAAAACAGTTATTGTTTTATTAAAACAATAACTGAAAGTTATTGTTTTAATAAAATTGAAATATACGAGACGTTTAAAATTTTGAATTTCCAAATGAGACGTAATTTTTTCGAATGTACAGTATTAATAATTGTTCTTTGAAATTATGTAAAATAAGAAAATCTTTAATACTCTTTTCCTTTGAAAATGAAACCTAATTTCGTAACTTAAACCGTTTCTTGAAGTTATTTAAATAATATAAGCACATTGCACCAACTTTCTTTCCATAAATTTATTACTTTTTAATCTGTCATATACAATTTTAATTATTTCAAATCATTAAATCATATTGTACTCATCGTGTACAGTACATAGATATAATTCTACTTAAATATATGATTATTGCAACATGATTTATACTTCCATATGATTGTTTTAGCACAAAATTAGATACACTCAGCTATGAAAAGTAATAATTTTGAAACGTAAACGTAACACAAAGCGTAATTTTACAAACTATAATATAAAAAACTTAAATATAATCGAGCACATCGTTGTATATGCCAGTAATCTACGTGAAAATTGTTCTTAATCTGTGGTTCTTACTATTCTGGCTGTTAAATGTAAAAGACGGAAAGTATGGCAATCTGTCAAAAAATGGCCCTCCAAGATTTTTATAGTTTTGGACTTAGGACACTTTGAAACGCCGAGAAATGCCAAAAAACGGAATTTTTTTCTATATGTATGAATGTTAGTGTGAGAGGCACGATTTTGTTTACCTTATTTGAAGCTTAATAACTGCTGTGATTTTTATCGAAATTTCCTGAAATTTTGCATGGAGGTTTCTGTATTAGGGAGATTGATGCTATTAAATTTTGGTGATTAAAAGTCGAGGAGATGGGGTGATAAAGGGGATCGTGTGTATCTCCAATAGGATCTGATTTAATGACGATTTTACTTGTTATTAGCATTTACAATTTTATATAAAACCCATTCGTACCCTCAAAATTAAGCTTCTTGCCATTTTATAAAAGTTAAAAATATAAAAAGTTTTTAAATAAAATATCATAACAGATGGCGCCACTAAATGTTGCCGGAAAAGTTAAACAACTAGTTGCTGGATTTTTTACGAACAACAATTGCTCGTAACAGAGTTAACCTACGAACAATTAGCGTCTGTGTTCTTTTGTTGTAAGTAATAGTGTATTGTTTTGTTTTGTACAATAAAACTTTGCACCGCGTAACCGTAGCATGGTTCCTGGTCGAAAAAATCGGAAGTATGCAAATTGCGAGTGCCAATTTCCTCGATTTTCGGCTTTTAAACAGTCGTACGTCAGAAGTTCGACAGCGAATTCGAATTACAGACGTATTCCTAAAAGGTTTAGTCGCAAACAGTTAAGAGAAATCAAGAAGCGAACGAACTTCCCAGAAAGACCTGTGTCTTCATTTTTGTTATACTTCCGCGATCACCAGGGCGCTCTGAGATCGGAAAAGAAATGGAAAATAACAAAAGTTGCCAAAATTTTGGGGAAAAAGTGGAGAAATTTAGACGAAGATACAAAAAATCGTTACGTAAGTATGGCCGAAAAAGACTGAACTAGATATCGGAAGGAGAAAAATGCTCTTCATCCTTTGGCGTCAAGTCCTACGAAATTGCTCAAATACGAATCGAGGCCATATTTGCCGAAGAAAAATGTACCCGCTTTCATGTTCTTTTATAAAAATACGTATCGGTACGAGAGAGAGAAAAATCTTACGTTGAAAGTTTGGCAAGTAGCTAAGAAATTAGGAAGAAAATGGAAGGGTATGGAGAAAGAAGAGAAAGAGGAATACCTAGAGATGGCCGGCAGAGACAGAGAACGATACTATCAACAGAAGAAAGGAATGACTCATCTAGATCCAAAAATGGTTTCGTCCGGTCGTGAAATAAACTATTTCGATCCGTTTAAATTGCTGTTCAAAGACAACGAACGAGGCAAATATAAAAGTCTAAATGGGATACTCGAGTATAAATATCTGTTAACTGTGTTGTTTCTGAGAATTGTATTCGATACCAATCCATTCGCAACTCTGCAATAATTGCAAAAAACTTTCAAAATTGTCAAATCCTTTCCGAATTAATAAAATAAAGCAATTCTAGTTATTTTCTTCTCCCGCCGGCACTGAAAAGACATTTTTCGTATCTCCAGACCCGGGTTCCTTGGCCAGTCACTTACTTCGAATGTCGTGGTGGGTCGGATCCTTCTGTAACGGGTGGAATTATGCCTTGTTCGTATAGCTTTAATATGCTGTTTTTTAAAAGTATTTTATATATTTAAATTTTATACAAATACAGATTATATTGTTATTATACGTTTGCAGAGGTGAATCGTGTGCTAGGAAACGTGACGTCATTGCCGTATCGCGTAATGCCTCCACTATTCGGCGAAAAAAAACGAAGCATCCACCAGGAGAATGTTCTCGGGAAACGTCACGGATGTCACATGACTGCAAGACGTAAAATGAGGTCATGTGACACGTTCTTGCATGGCCTAATTCGACTGGCTACTTCAGGATATTAGTAGAATGCTCTTCTTACATCTTCCTGTTCGAATGATCAGTAGAGCAGTTTGGGTCACTCATCTATTGTAATTAAATTACTCTTTTTTGGAGTTGCCATTAATCTAATCCTTGCTCGGTAGAGCATTCGTCCGAATTCTCCATAGGACTCTCACATATAGACTATATAGAGCAGTGGGCATATAATAGTCATTGAGGGAGCTTTAATGTCTCGTTGCAAAGAATCAGCTGAAGCCAATCGCTGCCATATTGGTAATCCTTAAATTCGTATCTTTGCAGTTGGAATTGGATGCTCTTCNATACAGTCGACCCCCCTATAATTACGGTCCCTATAATTACGATTCCTATAAAACTACAAAAAAATATACGTATTTTGGAAATGTTGAGTCGGATTAGTGTAGAATCGATTAATTTTATGGAAGAAAACCTTTCAATCAGCCGTAGTCCGTAAACTTGACACGTGTCGGGCTGTGAATGGAACGACTTGTAAGAAATCGGATTCCTAATAAATTGGAACGTATCTATATCTTATAGGGGGATCGACTTGTACTAAAGTTATAGTTTTGTAATGCAACTTAAAATGAAAAAGGTAGAATATAAAAGATCGAAGAAATACGCAAAACTGAAAAATGAGGTACAAAATCTCTTATGATTTTGTATACTGTTTTGAATCCACCAACCCGCCAATACAAATTAATAAGATTCATGTCATCCTTCACATGAGATTAAATCGGGATGAAGTTATAACGGAAGATAAGCTACGTGACCAATCGGTGGCTTTATATATTTCTTTTGAATTAATTTTTGAAGGATTTGAAATTTAAGAGAATTATATGATTAAATTAAATTTGTAAAAAGCTTTTGTAGATGTTAATAAAATTAACTTTTAATGGAAATCTATCAAATTCTAATTTATTGAATATTCGCAAAACTACGAACAGAATTATCCAATTTAAAGAGCATTTTTAAAATTTCAATTTGAACCTTCTTCACTTTTAAAATACTTTGAATAAATATTATAGATAATTTTTTCAATTTAATATTGAAGAAATTTATAAAATATTTTTGTAAAACTAAAAAATTAGAAATAATACGTGAAGTAAATTTAATCTTTTATTCATATAGGGTGATCCAAAAGATTGTTTAGTATCTAATAATTTATAAATAAATGCAAATGTGAAAATTCATATATATTTGTATAAACAAATTCAATAATAATATCTCTAGCTCTAGTTATAGATTTAATGTATCGAAATTAAATTATTTTACTCTAATTACCAATAATTAAAATTAAAATTATAGAACGAAATTATTTATTTTAAAAACTTCTGAGAAGTGACCTAGTACTATTAAGTGTGATGCCTACGCTGCTGATGTATATAGAACATTGTTTCCAATAATACATTACATTTCTTATCATTGTCTAACGTTACACAGTTATTTGTCTCAATTTCAAAAATTACTTATGTTAAATTTATAAGTAAAAATTTAAACTTATTATTTATAATAAATTACTTATTTTATTAAATTAACACTAGCAATACTTTTCCTCTTCACTTAAATAAACTAATCTTAAGGCAATTTTAACTTTATTTTTTCAGTTAGATAAATATCGGTATTGTTATTGTATTGAGATAAAAAATAAAAGATTAATTAGAGGAATGTAATATCTACAGTCGTTTAGTAACTTGAAAAGAATATATATATAAATATATGTTTATACAGAGAAAGATTTATCAAAATAAAAACTACTGGCAAAACTGTTTCCTATACTATGCAATCAAGCATTCACTATTATTGACTTATTTAATAATGTTTTGTTGTTACCTTATTTTTTTAATAAAAAATAAAAATTTATTTAAGTAAATAAAGTTGTTTTAAATAGCATACACTTCGTTAATTAGAAATGATAAATGAATAATTCCTAATCTTCTTACCTTCTTATGTAAACTCCTCTTAAGATAAGTTAGTTTGTCTCTAATGTTGAGGCTTTATATTATAATGAATAGGTGACAGGAATAAAATAAATCCAAATAAACTTTGAAATTTAATTATTAAGAGATCTTTACTTTGAATTATACATATTTATGTAAGAATCCTTTTCACTAATTAGTGAAGAAGAATTTGTATCATTAATAGAATAGAATAGAATATTAGTCTTTATAACGTATCTGTCAACTTTGCAGATGTTAAAAAATGAAAAGTATTAAGAAATACTACTAATGTAAAATCATCTGTAATAATTTCATCTATAAGCATTTATATAAGTAATTCTTAGGACCAGTGATTTTGACAATCTCTTTTCAAATTATCACTGCGATCAGATCGAAAAATAATTACACGAGAACATAAAAGAGAATTATAGTTAATTATTTTATTATCAAACATTTTAATAAAAACAATAATTTAAAAGGGTAATATTTAGTAA